TACTTTTGGGACGCCCTGCATAATCTTATATATAAAGCTGAATGTCTGTTTGTATGTACAGGGCTTTACAACCTGAGTGTCACACCCGCCCCGCTAGGACGCCACGCGTAGGTCCGCGCAGCGTTCGTGGCGCTGGCTGCGCGTCGACTGAAGCTTGGCGAAATCCGGGCGATACGCAGCAAACGCCGCGCGCGGCCTGAGCGAGGCGGCCGCGTTGGAGGAGCCGCGCAAGCGAAACTTGCGACTCTCAGGTTGAAAAGCCCTGTATGTCTGTCTGTCTGTCTGTATGTATGTCTGTACGTATGTTCCGAATAGAAAATTCCATTTCTGAACCGATCGGGACCAAACTTGGCACACATACACTTCGGGCCCCGGCGGGTGTCACAGTCCACCTTTCGTTATCGATTGATGTCGATTTTATCGGTTTTTTGCAAAATTTGAGCTAGGGGGCTGGGGTTTGGCACAGGGGGGTAATCTAGCATGCTGATTACGAATACAAAATTAGTTTTTGAAATCGTCCATTACTTTTATCGATTTTATCGATTTATTTGTAAATTTTGGCATGCGTGGCTGGGAGTTTGCACAGGCGGGTAATCGAGCATGCTGATTGCGAATACAAAAATAGTTTTTGAAATCGTCCATTACTTTTACCAATTCTATCGATTTTTTTGCAAAGTTCAAGCTACGGGACTGGGAGTTGGCACAGTGGAGTACTGAGCATGCTGATTACGGAATGTAGTAGCGGTTCGTGAGAATACCCAATACTTTCTTTTTTAGAGCCCTGGATTAGAAAGATATAGGTTGGTACTTGGTCATGCTTATTCAAGCGAGCTATCTTATATATAAAGCTGAATGTCTGTTTGTCTGTATGTCTTTCTGTCTGTATGTATGTATGTATGTATGTATGTACGTATGTTCCGAATAGAAAATTCCATTTCTGAACCGATCCGGACCAAACTTGGCACACATACACTTCGGGCCCCGGCGCGTATCATAGGCTACTTTTCGTCATCGATCGATATCGATTTTATCGATTTTTTGCAAAATTTGAGCTACGGGGCTGGGAGTTGGCACAGGGGGTAAGTGAGCATGGGGATTCCGAATACAATATTAGTTTTTAAAATCGTGCATTACTTTTATCGATTTCATCGATTTTTTTGCAAAGTTTGAGCTACGGGGCTGGGATTTGGCACAGGGGGTAATCGATTTGGCAGGGGGTGTAATCGAGCATGCTGATCATCCCCCGTGGGGATGATCAGCATGCTCGATTACACCCCCTGCCAAATTCCAGCCTCCTAGCTCAATTTTGCAAAAAATCGATAAAATCGGCATCAATCGATAACGAAAAGTGGACTGTGACACCCGCCGTGGCCCGAAGTGTATGTGTGCCAAGTTTGGTTCGGATCGGTTGAGAAATGGAATTTTCTATTCGGAACATACGGCGGAGCCGGGTAAGCCAGCTAGTAATATATATATGTATAGGTGATTTGGAATGCCAGCTGCAAAATCGCTGCCGCAGATCCATTCAGGTATGCTGAGTTAATTTCACAAACTTAACTTTTTTCAAAACTCAGGGTTTCTGACGATTTGAAAACGAGTCATAGAAGAACTGGAATGGCGATGGAGCTGGAGTCACAAAGTCAGCTCATCACGCGGCTGCAGGATAATCGAAGGAGTTTTGAATACTGGAGCACATTAGGTTTTGGTCTCTTTCTTGCTCTCATCCAGTAATAAATACGCGTAGGAACTCCTAAACGTGAGCCTCCAAAATTATTTACGCCGAACGCAATTGTTTATTTGCAGAAGGCAAAAAGAAAATGAGACAATGTTCGAAGCTCACTACTAAAAAGGGGCCTAAAGGGAGCAATCCCTGGAAACATATTCATTAATGTTGAATCACTGAAAGAAATTGTTGCACACTTGCTTAGGAAGAAACACGCAGGAGGGACGCCTGTATTTTCTAAGAGGCCTTATGTGGCAAACTAATGGCAAGCAAACACAATTCACGGGTGTATTAGAACGCTATCCGGTCAGCGACTTTATATAAAGTTAAATGCTGGCTCTTTACCCAGAAAAAGGGGCATAGGCTTAATTTTACAAAAATATTTTTCACAGCGCACCGAGGTGTCGCCTTGGAAGACCATGTCCGACATGAACAAGCACAAATCAAAGTCATTTTTGCTGCCAAAAGTGAAAAAAGAAGCTGCTATGATTAAGTTACAACAACAGCGGAGAAGATAGCCACTTCATTCAAGCCGCGAAAGTACTAAAGAAATACCGATTGATAGACTCATGTTGTTTGGTTACGCACTATTGAGGAAGACTCGATGGAACTTCATACAAGTCGATAATTTGCCTACAAAGCCATATGAAAATACAGTGCTGGCCATAATTACAAAGACATTCTAGAAATCCTCGTAATTCTCGTTCTTATGAATGAGTCAGTCTGAAACTTTGCTGTATTGTGAGCATGTTAACCTACCATGATCCCTCAAGAGGGCTTCCACTCTTGTTGAGCTTGAACGGAGAAAAACGAAAAAATTCGAAAGAACCCTTAATGAAAGCTAGACAAAATTATAAAGACCTTGGTTTTTCCAATCACTACCGCATTCGTTGGCTCTTGAATTTTTTTGTACAAGTACATCCTAAAATATGAAACATTTGCAACACCTAGACCCTATCATTCTACTCAAATAAAAACCGATTACTGCATTTTTGCTTGAAACATCAAAAGTCAATCTGCTTTAACAAGAAACTGGTTGGAGGAGTTTTCAAGCCTTGTTTTTTTTTCAAATAATAGTCATGAAATATACTGAGCATTTTTGATAGATGAGGTGAGGAGCGCTTTCATAATGTCTGCGTAATCGCTGACATTGACGGACAGATTCCACCCTCACTATGGGGTTGTCATGCTTTTACTCCACACAACTCTGTTTGCAATATTCATAAAACGCTGGATTTGGTTTATTACATTGCCTACATGGTGATGCAGATTTTGCAACAACTTCTGCTTTCCCTAGTGATGCAATTGCGACTTAGATCTGAAAAATTTTTCACGAAAATTCCTTGCGAGCAGAACGAAATAACCCTAGATCTCCTTATTTCCCTTTGCGTTTATTTCACCCGATAAATGAGGTTAGCTAAGATTTTGAAGCATTAAGCGTCTCCCGTTTTATCTCGTAATCTGATTTGGCGTTAAATGTGCAGGGTGCTCCACTCAACTTTCAGTGGAAGAGTGCTCAATCCCAAAATTTTTTCCTAGCCATGCGCACAAGTTCACTGTTGTATGGCTGTTGTAATGGCTACATTACAGTATTTTTTGTTGTTTGAGAATCGAGTTTTGTGGTGCAAAAGTGTGTCAGCCCTATGGTGAGGTTGGAGTATGTCCGTCAATATCAGCGACTACGCAACGTTTATGAGAGCGCTCTTCACCTCATCCATAAAAAAGAATCAATAGATTTTTAATGCTTTTGAAAGTAAAAAATGCAGTGATCGCTTTTATTTGAGTAGGATGACAGGTCGTAGGTTTGCAAATGTTTCATATTTTGAGATGTAATTGTACAAAAAAATTCGAGAGTCAAGGAATGCGATAGTGATTAGAAAAACCAGGTGTCTTTATAATTTTGTCCAGCTTTCATTGGGAGCTTTTTCGAATCTTTTCGTTTTTCTCCGTCCAAACTCAACAAGACTGTAAGCCGTCTTGAGAGGTCATGGTGGGTTAACATGCGCTAAATACAGCAAAGTTTCCGACAGATTCATTGACAAGAACGACAATTACGACGATTTCCAGAGTGTCTTAATTAACTGTATCTTAATTAACTGTATCTAACATGCACAGATTTCCCAAAATCCGGTTACTAGAAATGGGCATGCTTGGGGAGACCACAGGATATCTTTAAATATCAAATGTGAGAGACCTTGTTTTGTAAAACGCTGACACCTTACCGCAAATGAGAAGGACATCTGTTCAGTTCTACCACTTACCTCCTCCGCTTTCTCCCGAGTATCGGCTTTGACATTCATAAGGTAGTAAGTTGAAGCAGAGCACATTGAATACTTTATCATTGCTTTATTATCTCAACTGACATTTATAATTTTGATTTCTTCTTTGAAAAAAAGCAAGGCTCTTGCTAACGTTTGAACAAAATTCTGAGATTAAACTCAGAATTAGAGATAATACATTGAATTCAATGCGTCTTTGCTTTCAGGCTCGGAACAGGGAAAATTACTGAGAAGTATAATGCTTTTGTTTTCAAGCTACACAAGTTTTGCAAGCCGTACGATTGTGGATATCTCTTTCAAGTTACTACATAATTGAAATCCTCTGGCGTGTTCTTTTTCCAAATAGGAAATCAAAGAGTGAGTAAAATGAACAAATGGCTTGTTAACATCGCACAACCTATCACATGACACAAAAATTGAACCACATGTCTACAACATTCCTATGAACAATAGTATGTGAAAAAAAACACTCAAAACTTGAAAAAAAGTAAATGATATCTTTTTGTGCTCCAAATCAAATCAGTTTTGGGAGGTCGTTCATTGAACAAATGACCTACCCGGAGCAGAAGCGTTAGAAATTACTTTTAATAACTTACCGTAGATTTTACCCTCGTTCGAAAATCTATCTTCCAGCTAAAAGGAAGAGTCAGTGCTTTTCCTGTCCTCTGCATTTAAAATTGCTTTGTTGGATATCAATCCTTAAAACTTATGCCTTCTAAATACGTCTCTTCAAAGTTTTATTACAAAAATGTCTGAGTCTTATTTCGCCTTTCGTCATGTTTTCCTTTTTCCATCTTATGACGGCCTTGAAACATTTTGAAAAAACGCCATCTGTTTGTGTTTCTTCCCGTTTCCTAAGTTCCACCGGTCGTAGTACATACTTAGACCTTTAGGTAAAGTTGGTAGGGACTTCACAAAAGTCGATAACTTTGTAAAACTACGGTAAATGCAAACTTTTTTTCGAAAGACCCTGAAAGTCAACCTGTGTCAAGCCCAGGATGAAAACAAACTCTAGGAGCAGGTGATTTGCCAGGTTTGAGCAGATTGTCCAAAATTCTTCGATCAAAGATGATTTCTCACTCAACGTGACGCACTTTACACATGTTCGGCTTTGTACTTCGGAATTGCGTAACCAGATAATTTTTAAAATAAACTTTACTGACACCTTTGCTGCCATTTTCCAATCGAATTGTAAGCTTGATTTTGCAGTTGGAATTCCAGATAATTGTCGGATGCTAACTGCTAAGTTTCAAATTATTTGAACGAATAAGAGGACACAAATCATATCATTTGCAAATATTATAAAAAAGACAGTTTATCGGCTTCCAATTTGCGAGCATCGCATCTCAGTCGGCTTTATGGCACTAGATTCATGTCATGGATAAAACATAATCGTCTCACTTGAGTACATCTACTACTCGTCGCAAACTTTATTCCATCATCACTTTCGACCTTTATTCCAGCTAAAGCTGAAACCTTTTTTGCGACTTCACTGAACAAGACAATCCATCCTATTGCTTCGCTAATCCTATATCACGAGAAGTGTCTGAGTCATCTTGATGCGGACTCGTCATGTTAAACGTTTTTGGTTTTTTTTTGAACAAATGTTTAGCTATCACGACGTGAGCTCCGTTGAATAGACCGTGAAAGTGTAACAAAACAATCGCAATTCTCGATATAAATTCAGGGGCAGACTGCAGAAATCATATACCATGAACAGCTTTGCCCTACCCATTCTATTATTGCTCTCCTTGGTTATACAGTCCGAATGTGGATGTTACAAAAATTGGAGCCGCTGCACACCACAAACAGCTGTAAGTAGTCGTATTACACTTCCTCTACAATAGCAAGGCAGTTGCGAAATCTCCCTTCGATTTCTGCCCACAAGAAAAAGATTTTAGTCAAAAGCTTACATTTTATTACAGTTCGCCACGGGAATTTTGTGGAAATCATGTGCTGAATACTGCAGAAAATGTAAGGGAAGATCAGGAGGACATTGCGTCAAAGTTTTCAACAAAAGATGTAGCGGTGGATACCAATGCCAGTAAGTCCTTCCATCTGTATTCAATCTTTTCAAATGTTCGTTGCTTACAGGTGCACTGGAGGAGGACATGCTAAATCAAAAAATCCCATTGATATCGCTACCTGTAGATTTGGACTATGATCTCGAAAGTAAGACACTTCACAATTGTGTTATGATCCACATTCGATATAAAACTTGAATAACGCTCTATCACTCCACGAATGTGAACTATGATCATGTTCAAACAATAAATACCTTGGCCATATTACTCATCATGGCTTAGAAATAAAATATGACCTTTTCTCCCTATTACCGTCTCTTTGCAAATGACTTTTTATCTCAGAGGCAATATTCAAATAAGCATGCGTACCTTATTTTATGGATGCTAATTAGAAGGAGCTGGCTAAGTCGTTGCCCAAGCGCGATTCATCCAGCTGTTTATCGCCAGAAAACCTCTGGTACTCCCTTCCCCCTTTCCCAACTGAAGTGGTTGCAGCCGCTAGCGCGCTGTGTCTAAGATTGCGCGAGGTACGCCTTTAGGCTTACCAGTTAACACATCGACGATTTACCTGGATCCAAATCGAGATTTGATTATTTTATTAACCTTAGACATGTTCGCATTAGGAATGCGAACCGCGGAGTTTTCCGTGTAAAACACAAAACTTGAACAAACAGAAAACGGGGTTTTCTAATAAAATTTGTAAACTCGAATAATCAAAAACTTGGTTTTCAATATTAGTGTAAATGTATTTGAATGTCTTATTCGAATTCGTATTCGACAAAAAATTTCTGTTATCTGCAGGTGTTTGGTGCAGAGTGCACTGCTAAGTAATAAAGCTCACTTTGTTTGCATCTTTTCCTGCAAAACTCGTAGTGCATCTGAAGACGTGATCAAACTGTTTGAGAACTCTTATACCTCCAAATGCTTGGGATAGTAAAAAGTAAATGTGGATTTTGGTTGATTTTTTCGATAAATCAGACAGCTTGCATTGCTGCTGGTATGAAGCCAGAAAAAAACGTCTATCTCAAAGCTCGTGGTCCGAGTTCGTGCTACTAAAGTATGTTGATATGTCAGTTTTTTTTCCTTTTGCGTTGCTCGTGGTTTCGGTCCGCAAAGGTCCACACTAGTAGGCACTATGCACTCTTGATTGTAAAACTCATATGCTGCACCACTGCTTCCATTCTATTCAGAGATTTTTCGCGAATAACGGGTCTATTTTGGAAGGACGTGCAGTTGTAGTAAAGGTTATATCACCTTGAAAAAAATTTCTGTTCACTATATAGCACTAATGCGATAGTGTGAGAATTTCCTCACCCTACCTTTACCTCTGAGCCGGGACCAAGGTGAACCCCTTCACCAAAAGTCGAGGAAAATAATCAACAGTGAGTTAAGGTTAAGCAAAAAAGATATTTGTACGTGAATTGTTTATGTATAGAAAAGGAGGAGTCTGTTGAAAAAAGGGCTTGGTGACGGGTGTGAGTAATGATTTCTGGAGATTTTCGAGTTTATAACGTAAAAAAAACTCATAACTTCTGCTGATGAACATATTGTAAGCAGCGATGGTCACCACTGGAACCATCTCATCCTCCGCTTTTAGAAAGTATAAACTATGTTTGGACCGTTGCAAAAAGTGCCTGGGTGAAGGGTGTCCCAGTGATTTTTGGTGATTTTCGAGTTTTTAACATGAAAAATTCATAACTTCTGTAGATGAACATCTTGTACGCCGAGATGGTCACCATTAGAAGCGCCTCTTCCTCCGCTATCAGAAAATATATGCTTTGCCTGGGGTCTGTTAGAAAAAGTGCCGGGTGAAGGGTGGGTGAGACTTTTATAATGGGAGTGCTCAAGTAGACGTCTTTTCAAAATGGTAAAAAAGCCTGTACTTGAGCACTCCCATTACAATAGTCTCACCCACCCTTCACCCGGCACTTTTTCCAAAGGACCCTAGGCAAAGTATATATTTTCTGATAGCGGAGGACGAGGCGCTTCTAATGGTGACCATCTCAGCGTACAAGATGTTCATCTACAGAAGTTATAATTTTTTATGTTAAAAACTCGAAAATCTCCAGAAATCACTGAGCACACCTTTCACCCAGGCAGTTTCTGGACTTATCTGAGACAAACTGTATATAGTCTGGAAAGGGAGGACGAGGCGGTTCAAATGGTGATTATTTCGCCGTAAAAGATGTTCATCTACAAAAGTTATGAATTTTTTATATAAAAAATTCGAAAATGTCCAGAAATCACTACTCACACCCGTATCAAGCATTTTTTCAGCAGACTCCTCCTTTCCTATGCATAAACAATTCACGTACAGATATCTCCTTCGCTTAACCTTACCTCAATGTTGATTTCTTTTTCGGCTTTTGGTGAAGGGATCACCTTAGTCCCGGATCAGGGGTGAGGAGGGGGTGAGAATTCTCACACTATCGCATCTGTGATTTGCCCCTCCATTTGACCAAAAATTAAAACAGATTTATGAATGAGTTGCTTTTGCATCGAAATTCCATCGCAAAAATTTGAGAACATCGATAAAATTATCAACAGCAAAATTTTTGTAAGACCGAATTCTGAATGCACAAACGAGGTCAAATTGTTAAGACAGTTTAGGCAAGACTCCACTTGGGGTATAAACGCTGACGAACCACTAAATTGATAATCTTGTACAGGATTTCTGTCCAACGACGTTGCACTACGACAGCGCGAGTCCCACCTTGAATATTTTTATCGCTTGATTGAAAAAGAATCTCGGATGAATTTTATTAGAATGTCTGATACAGGATGTCCCAAAAAGATGTGCACACCGTTTGATTGTTAATAACTCTCCTGCTTTCATGTCTTTTGCCGAGCTTGAGGTACCATTCTATAGAGCGAGGTTTAACTTACAAAGGAAGCTACCTAACTTAGCTAGGCTTTTTGGCAAGAAACATATATATTTTAGCTTCAAACGCTAAATCCAAATATGCTATTCCTGGCTGCCGAGCACCATTCCGAAGCGAGTTATGGACTTTCTCCTGTGCAAAATCAGCATATTCAACGACTCACTGGCATCACGATATATCCACCTAAACGCTAATACACTTGCGTTAAGCTTCCTTTCAGTAAGAAAAAATTGGATTTGTGTTATTTCGCTATCTCAGCACCTTTTTCTTGCAAATTTTTATCTACACGCAGTCACGTTCAGTAGTATCCAATTTTGCGGAGGAAAAAGTCTATAACTCGCCTCGGAATGTCTGCGCGGCAGCTAGAAATAGCATATTTAGAATCTGCGTTCAAAGGTGACTCAAGACATATATGTCCCTTGCCAAAAGGCCGAACTGAGTTAGGTAGCTTTCCTCATTAGATTTGCCGTATAAAGCAAATTATCAATCTTTTTTCTTTACTGTAAGATTACGGTAGGAACTTCGAGGAAGACTTTAAGCCATCAAAAGTGATCAGCCCTAGAACGAAAACCAAACAAGCTAGAAACTCTTGTACTGGCCTTAAAAGTCGTTGCTTCTAAATATGAAAATTGCATTTCAGTATAGGGCTTCTTTCATAAGTTATATCAGATTTAGGGTGACAACTGTTTTCACAGTGTTCGTCAGAAATGTGAATACGCCATCGAGAAAGCTCAAAAAACTGGTGGAAAGTTATGCAGAGAAATACGCCTGAAAACCTTGCTACACTAATTTTCAGACTTTTTGAATTTATTTCATCAAAAGGCCTAATTCATAGTGACGACGTCTGCTGAAAGTTCATTCCGTGATCATACAGTAATGAAGAGCGATTGGTGATTTCATACTATAAATCTAAGCTGAACCTCGCTCTACAAAATGATACCTCAAACTCGCCAAAAGACATGAAAGCAAGAGAGTTATTAACGATTAAACAGTGTGCACCTCCTTTTGGGACACTGTACAATCCTATTAGACGTTTTATGCATCGGTCAAAAAAACGCAATTTAATTCTTTTTTTTGGACAAACTAACAGGTGAAAAAATTCTGTGGGAAGGAAAGGTAGCAAAAGTTTTTCCGAACTGAAGTACTGGCGTAACTCCTCTTAGAAACGTTGTCAACATGCTTTGCAGAGTTTTAACAGACGCAGTACCTCAAAAATTAGGGGAAGGAGAAGCGATGACAAGCATTTACGCAACCTTGTAATTCATAATGGCATTCAAAATTTTCGCGAAATCCCCAGGGAGCAAAGGGGTGGGGGGGAGGAAGAGGAGGAGGGTTTCTTTCACTGTGGAGTAGCACTTAAAGGAAGCGTACAGGCAAATCGGGAGCTAAGTGGATTTTACGTGGATAGCAATTTTGAGGCCCTAACTAGGGCACTGCCCAGGCGGCAGCGCAGGTGACTCACTAGCGGCTAAGATTTAGGCCTTCAAACTGGAACCTCAAGATCGTATTTCGCACGGATTCATGGCGCAACCCATCATTTTCGCGCGAGGACTCACGCGAATGATTTGCGCCATGAATCCATGTAAAATGCGATTGTGGGGTTCAGTTTCGAGGAGAATATCTTAGCCGCTAGAGCACCACCCGAGCTGCCTTGGACAGTGGCTTAGTTAGGGCCCAAAACTACTACCCACGTTAGATATCCATATGTCCACATTTCCTGGACCCTGCCTTCAAAGCTTCGCAGCCATATTTGTAAATTGTATGGGTACTTTAAAAACTCGTTCTTTGAAGTGCTTGATTACAGTACAGTTACAGTTTTGTTTTTTTCGATGTTAAATCTTGTGCCATTAAAGGCAGTGTCCGGGCAAGATGGGGGTTTTGAGATTTCTCTGCCATGTGAGACTGGCCCCCCTGAGACACAACATCGCGCAACTGCGAGCATAAAACGTTCGACCTAAAGCAAGAAAAACAATTGCAAAGTGGGGAAACTTACGCCTCGGGGCGGGGTCCTCCGAGCTGTTTTAATTCCTGCCAGACGGCAGAGTACGTGTGCCGCCACAGTTAAAAACCGTGCGCTCTTTGCAACTCTGCGTCTTAGCCTGGCGGGGATCCTCAAATTTCGAAATGTAAGGGCTTGGAAAATGCATGTTCTCGCCGTTTTCGTGCTTTCTGATATGGATTTTCGGATTCAGCGTTGCGGATAACCCCAGATAAGTTGATTTTTTAAAAGTCGAGTTTCTGCCCGGACACTGCCTTCAAGGCCACCAAGAATTTCCAATTTCCTTGTAGACAAAATAAAAATCAAGATTGACCTGATGTTCATCGAATCCTCAGAGCTATAAGCCCAGGATTAGGCTTCCCTA